CTTATGTTGAAGCAAATGTCAGTATAGTAGTTGAAAAATGTGCCTAGGTATCATGTTGATCAAATGCTATTCCTTTTTTTGATGTTTCGGAGTGGATATTTGTTTAGTTGAATCAGATATGCATTGCAAGTTAGTCTCTTGTTTTTGGAGCTTTTACCAGTAAGGGGTCGCTGCCCCTATATGCTTCAATCACATATCTTCGCTTCTTACCTTTAGGTTTTGCCAACTTTCCTTCTGATTAGCTCTTCCCTTGGGTTACGTGACTCGAGTAACAAGGGCTTTGTGCTAGAGCGAAATAAGAATGTCAACTATCTATCAGAATGTTTTACCCCTTTGATATCATATTGGCTTTACCCTAATAGGATTTGTATCCACAAGCGGATCCAGATTCCGGCATGAACACGGGCTAATAAAATAAAAAAAAAAAATTAAGCATCAAAATTTTTTTTTACTAATTTTGTTTTTAAAGGGGATTTGGGGCAAACGGACGAATTGTAGCACTGGTCTACCCGTCCCTGAATCCACCCCTGTTTGTATCAGTATCTTGTTCTCATAAATTTGCTTGTGCATCTTGTCTTGGCATAGGAGTCCCTAGTCAACAGCCCAACCATCTTTGTGGCCAAAAATTAATTGAAATTTTAGGCTTCGGACAATCAAGCAAGGACATCAAGCCCATTATGTAGATTCTCAACATCAATTAGAGTAGATGTGGTGTTGCTCGACAATTTTTTGACATCAATAAAGAAGACAGAGATAAGAAGTGAGAGAGGAAAACACATATGCTGACCAACTTTGCATTAACATTTCTAGGTTATGTTGACCAAATTTGAAAGAGTTGGGTGAGAAGGCATGATCGAGAAATCAATGAGTAGGGGTTGGGTTAATCAGCCACGTTGACTAGGAATTATCATAATATGGGTAAAATAGATTTCTTTCAAATAATAATTTTTAAGTAACGTGTCTAGAAAGCTTATAATTTTTAAAACTGGACTGACTGAAAAGTGGCTACTCGAAAAATAATCTGAATTGATTTATATAAAGGAAACATTAGAAAAATGAACCATTAAGGATGGCTTGAACCAATTGAAAACCGACCAAATCGATCGGGTTTGAGCATAAACCCAAACCGGTTTCACTAAATTTCCCTTGAAGAAAAATTGAGTAATATTGAAGCACAATGATAAGGCTGGGCTGGTTCTGCTTAAATATGAATCGATTTTGGTTATTAAAATCGAGAACAAACCGATTCCAATCTTTTACTGATAGCTAGAATCGATATATCCAGTTCACCTTACTTTTATTTTTAAATATATCACATGGTATAGCAGTAAGGATATTGGGTTAAACCTATTCAAGATTCTAGCAGTACAAGTAAGATTTTTGTCATTTACAACTTTTTTTAAAGTAAAAACGTGAACTTGCCTTCCCCAATTGCCAAACATTCAGCAAAGAAGGGCGAAAGAAAACCCGGAACCGAGTTCGCAAAGGCAACACAACTTTGCAAATATTGTACCCACACCTCCCTATTGCATTTTAATGTTTGGTTGGGGTAGAAAGGGGTGGTTGGGCAGGGGTGAGGGTGGCATGGGGTGGTTGGGATGGCAGTGATTGTGCGGAGATGGGATTTGGGCAAGAATGCAACTTTTTTTTAATTATTATTTTCTTTCATTTTTTCTTTGTTGGGTGGTTTTGATTTACAATTGGAAGAAGGAATCAGATTACTTTTATTTTCCATATTTTGAATTTTGTCTTATAAATTTAATATTGTTTTTGAAAAATATTAAACCAAACAAGTTTTGAATGTTCTACAAAATTGAAAACTGAAAATGGCAAATCAAACTTCACCAAAACTTTTTATATACTGTAACCCTTTAATTTTGCCTTTTATTTTACTTCCCCCAACATTCATTTATTGTTTTTCACTCAACTTTTTATATTTTTATCCACATCATTTTTAATGTTTTCCCTCATGTCAGTAGTACTATAAATAGTGAGGCATTGAAAGTTGCAGTGTTGCAATCTTAAAAATTTCAAATAAAAAGTGAGCTTGGCTCTTCGAACATATAGACTCGAGGTCACTCAGGGACGGATCCAAATGGGGCCATGTAAATTGACCTCACAAATTTTTTTGAATTTTATTTATTTTATTTTATTTTAATTCTATGCTTGCCCAATTGCCCTAACTCTATTCCTTATGCCTAACTGCTCTTTATTTTTTTTTCTTTCCCAATATTCCTTATGACCTTATTTTCAAGAAAAGTAGTTGCCCTAGCCCCTAGTACAGTTTATCAAGAAATTGCCCTAATAACGTAAATAAGCAGTAGATAAATCTTATAGCTTAAAATCATATTAAAACTTAGATAAAATGGGGTTATTGGTTCTTAGCCTCGAGTTCATGTGTGGTCTTATTTTTCCCAATTGGCCCCTTTCTGAACGGTCACTGAAGAACAACCCTTTATGAACACAAGGATGCTACATGTACAGCATCATATACATCAGTTTTGATAACCGTCTCACATATAAGAAGAGGGATCCATGATTATTCTAATCACGGGCCCCACCTCCGTGAGAGGGCTGTAAAATCTTACAGCATTTCTCTTACCCAATCACATAGTATACACACTAGTGCAAAATCATTTACAATTAAAAAAAAAATAAAAAATAAAAAAAATAAGCCAAGAAAACGTAATAACCTGCTATAATTGGTTAGTGAATATTGTCTGAATTATCAAATTTTAGAGGTAAATGGAGGAATTTAAAGAAAAACCTTACCGATTATTTTGATTATATAATTTTGTTATTAAATTAAATATATTATTCATACTTGTATAATTTTTTTGTACGTGACATGTGACGTCTTCTAGAAGTGCGACGATTTTTCTGTTAAAATTTACCTGGCTTATAGAATGTTGGGGTAAGTAAAATTAAAAATCTTATTCATACTTGTATAATTTTTTTGTATGTGACATCTGTCGTCTTCTAGAAGTGCGACGTCAGCTAGTGGCATGCCGTAAACCTTTTGGTGAAATCAACTTCGGGAAAATAGAACGCAACTGTCTGATAGTCTACGGCGTAGTAGCCAGCCAACTTGAACACCTCTTCACCCTCAGTAATTTTTCCCAAATGCACATATGTGAAAAATGCAAAATATGGCAAAAATGAAATATAAAGGGATTATTACCAATTGGTTAGTCTCTTTTCCCTTTTCTTAATTTTGGTTATTTGTTTCATCGTTCATGAACCAACTATTTTTAGTAACTATAAAAACCTTTCTTTTGGCTGTCGGGAAAAAAAATCAGAAAACCTTCCTTCTATAGATGGAAATTCAAGCTATACTGCATAAGATAAAACTGTTTAGGATTTTATGTCTAAAGTTTTGCACACTTCAAGCTACTTTTGTTTTCTTATGAAAATCTCCACGTCTACTAGAAAATATTAGATATTGATAGACAATGAGATCACTAAAGTTAATTATTTCTTTTGAATTATTAGAATAATGCAACTTGCATTTGTGGAAAAACTTATACAGTTTCCTCAATAAAAGATAAAGAGGAATCTCTGCCTCCAATGGAATAATTTCTCCGGCTTGGTAGTCAAGCAAAGTTCTTTTTATTTTATTTTTTTAATTTTTAATTTTTTGGAAAAGTGGAGTCCATAATGGATTGATGAGCACCACTCCCTCGAGATAGAAGCCCATCCAAATCTTAACCATAAATTACTTTGTTCACTTATCTTGTAGGAAGCTTTTATTTTGTGCGTGTATATATACTCGTACTTATATCAAACTCCTCATTACAAGCCCCTCACAATTTTCTTTATACATTTCAAATTATCCATGGGAAAAAACATGATTTTTACGCTGCAGTCAATGCTTTGCTTTCATATCAACATTGTTGCATCTCTAAAGAGCTCCACTGACGAGTATGCTCTTTTAGCCTTCAAATCTCAAATAACTTCTGATTCAAATAATATCTTGGCTAAAAATTGGTCACAAGGAACCTCATTTTGTAACTGGGTTGGCATTACTTGTGGCAGTAGATATCAAAGAGTTAGGGAGTTGAATTTAGCAAATATGGGTGTAGGAGGTACTATTGCTAAGGAAATCGGTGAACTCTCTTTCTTGAGATCCTTGATTATTAGCAACAATAATTTCCTTGGATTTATCCCTGGCGAAATTGGTAATTTAAGCCAGCTTCGAGAAATAGAGATGTAGAACAATGAGCTGAACGGTCCGATTCCAACAAGTTTAGGATTTCTTGAAAATCTATAGAAGATAAATCTCTCCCATAACAGGCTCTATGGAGAAATTCCTAATAGGATTTTCAACCTCCCTTGTTTGACGGCAATTGATTTAAGAAACAATAGTCTCTCAGGACGTCTCCCCACAGATATCTGCAATAATCTTCCAAATATGGAGTGGCTAAGAATTTTGTTTAATCATATAAGTGGCAACATTCCTCCAAGCTTGGGAGCATGCAGGAAGCTTCAACTACTTTCTCTGATGTACAATAATTTTTCTGGAAGCATTCCAATGGAAATCGGAAACTTGTCAAAGCTTCAATCTCTCTATCTAGGAGGAAATAATTTGATGGGTATGTTTAAAGTGGTTTTCATATACATAAATCTCCCAAAACATAATGTCTTCCAAAAAAATTGTGAAATTGAAAAATATTTTTAATCATTCACATCATATATATTTCATACATTCATAGCCACATGTATCAAAAAAATTATTCGGTTCTTCTTCTATTTAATTAGATATATTTTGTGATAATTTAACATTAGATATTTTAAGTTGTACTTGTTTGTATTGACAGGAAATATTCCAAATGAAATTGGAAAGCTATCTGAACTTGTATATTTAGATTTGGGGATCAACCATTTGAATGGTACGTAATTAGATATCCTATACTTGCTTTATATATTGAATCAATGTTCTAAAAGGCATCAAGTGTTTCTGCATGCCAAGGCTAAGCTTCAAACTTTTACTAGCCTAAATGGACCAGGTATAAATAAGTGAAGTGTGGTTAGGCGACAAGGTCCATCTTCATGCTTAAATGTGCTTTTTTTCGAAATACTGATTAAATCTATTTTAATTTGTTTATTAGTGTCCTCACTTGGATTTATACCAAAATTTAAAATTTAAAATTGTCATATATATAAAAAGATTTTTATTGTTGATGGAAAACTGAAATGAACTTTAGATTGCCACCTACGCATTTTACACTCTTTTGAAAAATATTTTTGAGCATGTATGGTGTTTTTAGACTAATTATTAGAAATACATTGTAATAACATTGTATCCTATTGAAAAGTTACTAGTTCGACCTTGATATCACCTAGATGGGGGTTAATAGGTGAATACTGGCAAATTAAAATTATTAACTAAAAGCAATGAGTGACTTTTTAATTGTTTCTAGATGATTAGTTAATCAAGTCCAATTATCCTAAGTTTGAACGCCGCAATCAATAATTAACAAAATACAGAACACAACAATTGTTGACGGAGAAATCCAACTGGGTAAAAACTTTGGGACCAAGCCAGTAAACTCCACTATAGATAATGATGAGTTTACAGTACGATCTAGCCTAGAAAATTTTACTAGACTTTCTGATCAACTTTTTGCAATTTCTAAGACTCGCCAAAACGTGCTTCACTCACACTTGTTCCTGATCTTTTGGAATTATCTATCTTGTGTGGATTACCAAGAACGCCTTGTTCTTGTGCTCTTCCCGTGCTTCTAGTCCAACTTCCCTCAATTCTTCTGCGGCCTATGAAAACTCTTGAGAAAGTACCTTTATGTATGTGTGTTGGAAGTGGGTGTTTCGGATTATAAAAGCTTGATGTTTTTTCCAAATTCATGGTTGTAAGAACTCAATAATCAATGGAAGAATCAAAGGGTTGAATATGTTTTTGAATCTTGGAATGATGATATGTAAAAGGAATATAATGAACAACTACAAAATTCGTGTTTAGGATTTGGTATATATAGTAAAAGGTAATTAGGTAGTATCGGCCAGATAAAACTCTTGAAAAACGTGAACTAGGATTTTGCACATAACACTGTCTCTTGAGCTAGGTCTCAACTATAGGCGAGCGGCAATTTGCCCCTCGAGGGATATCTGGGTGACAAGCGGGCAATAGAGTTTCTATTTTTGCCGCAAGAGCATGAGATGGGTGATGGGCTAGCATAAATCGGGCAACTTTTTCTTCACTGTTCCAAACTCGAACCTTAACTTATCTAAATCTATAAAATATTGCAACTTACTCGTTGACTTTTACATGCTTTTTACTTCTATCCTTTTGTCGAAAGAATTGGCAATACAATAAAATCTTAACACCTACGTACTTAATCAGCTTAGGATGAAGATGGATCCCACTAGAGGCTACCTAAATCATAATATTTAGTCAATACTTTAAAATCTTTTCATTATTAGTTTTTTCTATTTGATAGTTTGAGGACCTAGGATACAATTTTAGTTAAGCTTAATGATTAGGCGTATCTCTGTTAGCTTCGAAGATGAGATTTATATTGTGGAGCATTTTGATAAAAACATTATAAAAGTTGTGAGAGTTTTTCTTTTACAATTTTTGACAGCAAATGCTCTGTGCGGAATCAACGGTTAGTCAATTAAGATTAATTCTATCATATTCTAGTGCGAATTAATAAATTATTGATTTTCTAAATTCGCACGCATTTTAAGAAGTAGTGTGGTTTTAAATTTATTCTTTATTATAGTTTATTTTTCCCTTTTGCTCTGCATCACCTTGTTTGTCATTATAAAATCATTCTTATTTTTATAATATATATTAGAACCACAAATACCTGTATTTTTATTTTTAATACCATAAAATGTATTCACAGGAAGCATTCCATACGAAGTTGGAAACTCATCGGCACTTCAACAATTTTATTTGTTTTCAAATAACTTAATAGGTACCTATCTACTAATTAACGTTTGGTATTCATTAATTTGATCGTGCTGACAACCAGCACAATGCAGGTGAAATTCCGCATTCAATTGGCAATTTATCAAATTTGAAGATTTTGGATATGTCCCAAAACAATCTTCATGGTCCAATACTTGCAGCCATCTTCAATCTCTCCATGTTAAAAGTACTTGCTTTAGACGTTAATAGTATATTTGGGAATCTTCCATCTTCAATTGCCAATTGGCTTCCTGATCTCGAAGGTCTCTATCTCGGTGGCAATCAATTGGGCGGTGAAATTCCTGCCTCTGTTTCAAATTTTTCTAAGCTTATCCACTTGGATCTTAGTTACAACTCGTTCAATGGACGAGTGCCCATGAATATTGGGAATTTACAGAACCTACAAAAACTAGGATTGGATAATAATGAGTTGACAAATGATCCTTCAATGATCGAATTGGATTTTCTTATTTCATTGAAAAATTGTAGGAATTTGAAGATCATAGTGATGAAATATTACCAAAAGCCTTGGGTAATTTGTCAACATCAGTTGAAATTTTCTCTGCCGCTTATAGTGGCATTAAAGGTATCATTCCTAATGAAATTGGTAATATGAGCAACTTGATCGAGTTAAACATTGGAGTCAATGAATTGACAGGAACAATCCCTGACACATTGGGGCAATTAAGAAAATTGCAAAAGCTGGAACTTCGTTCCAATAAACTAGGGGGGTCGGTACCTTTCAACCTTTGCAATTTGGTAAATCTATATCGTCTTCATTTGAGCAATAATAAGCTTTCTCAACAGATACCAACTTGTTTAGGAAATCTTACCTCTTTACGAGAAATGTATTTAGATTACAACTCATTGACTTCAACTATCCCATCCACACTTTGGACTAACAAGGATATTCTGATTTTGAGTTTAGCTTATAATTCGCTAAATGGGTCATTGGCTTTAGAAATTGGAAGCATTAAGAACATGAGGGAGTTATACTTATCAGGAAATCAGTTTTCAGGTGATATTCCAAGCACCCTTGGGCAACTTCAAAATTTGGAAATTCTTACATTATCGAACAATCAGTTACATGGTCATATACCTGAGTCGTTTGGGAATTTGATTTCATTGCAAAATCTGGATCTTTCCAAAAACAATCTCTATGGTGTAATCCCCAAGTCATTGGAAAAACTTGAGTACCTTGAGTATTTCAATGTTTCATTCAATGAACTTAGTGGTGAAATTCCAAGTGGAGGGCCTTTCAAAAATTTCAGGTCAGAATTTTTTGTAGGCAATAGAGAATTGTGTGGAGCATCTCAATTTAAAGTCAAGCCGTGCAAAAATAATACAGCTAGATTATCAAGCAATACTAGAGTTTTGAAGTACATTTTACTACCAGTTGCTATTGTATTGAGTTTGGCCATTACTGTGGTTTATGTAATAAGACGCGGTAGTAGAAGTACGGTTCTACTAGCTCACTCTACTTTCCCTATCACTGTCAAGAGGATTTCATATTATGAAGTTCTAAATGCTACCAACAATTTTGGTGAAGAGAATCTTATTGGTGAAGGCAACATCGGGTTAGTGTACAAGGAAATATTTTCAGATGGAATGATAGCTGCAATTAAGGTTTTTAATCTAGATTTGGAAGGTGCAAACCAATGTTTTATACTGAGTGCCAAATTTTGTGCAACATTCGTCATAGAAATCTTGTCAAGATAATTACAAGTTGCTCTAACCTTGATCTTAAAGCCTTGGTGCTGGAATATATGCCTAATGGAAACCTTACAAAATGGCTATCCTCGAGCAACTATTTCCTAAATATGTCTCAAAGATTGGAAATAATGACAGATGTGGCATCTGCACTCGAGTATCTGCATCATGGGTGTCCCTTTCCGATTGTTCATTGTGATTTGAAGCCCAACAACATAGTTTTAGATGAAGATATGGTTGCCCATGTTGGAGACTTTGGCATTTCCAAGCTTTTAACTGAAGACCAGAGAATTTCAATTACCAAGACGTTAGGGACCATTGGATATATGGCTCCAGGTAAATGATTTTGTCAACTACTTAAATATATTGTTAAATGCTATACACTGTGTTGAATTACTATTAAAAATAATAATGGCCTGTGCAATTAGTTTTATACTAACAAATGCAGCTCGATTATGTAAATTGAATAAATTGCTTTTGGGGCAAATTTAGTAGAAATAGTTCAAGAATTGTCGTGAATTGGACTACTGCACACAACTAAAAATTTGTTTAATACACATGTATACCCATGAATTATGTGAAAAGTAATCATTGGTCCATTGGTGAAAAAGATAATCACGCCTTGAAAGAGAACTCTATGCACTCTATGCATGCACATGAAAAAATATTACTATATTTTGGAGAGGATCATACTGACGATGTATTATAAAATAGAGAGAAAGGGAGAAGAAAGTAAAGAAGTCAATAGACTTTTGTATATTTTATTAGTGTATTAGTATTGTTTCACATTTATTTATTTGTCATTTAACATTTCGGTTGTTAGTTTGATCACATATGTCAATTTTGTAGAGTATGGATCTACTGGATTGATATCGACTATGGCCGATGTTTATAGCTATGGGATTATGCTGATGGAGACATTTACCAAAAAGAAGCCGACAAGTGATATGTTTGTTGGAGAGTTCACAATGAGGAAATGGGTGTTCGAATCATTCCCCGATGCAATAATGCAGATAGTGGATGTTGATCTAGTGAATCCAGTTGAAGATAATATTCAAGCCAAAGAGATCTGCTTTAGATCAATAATGGGAATAGCACTAGAATGCACGGCTAACTGGCCCAACGAGAGGCTCAATTTGAAAGATGTTGTAAAAAGGCTCAAGGAGATCAAAACTGAATTTTGTAAAGTATAATACTGTGGCGGATTAAGATGAAGAGGTTTGTTTCTTAATTAAATTTGCTTTTTCCATCTCGTAAGAACACAAAAAGGTAGGCGTTTGAGCTAAAATTTTATTAATGAAATCAAAACCTATTTTTAGTTTTAGTTGTCGTAGAATCCAGTCATCATATTAACTACTTTTTAAAACATACTTCAATCATCTCTCATAAGCTTATTATATACATCTTTCTATTATAGAAAAACTTGGAAATCATTTTTGGCTGCTGCCATTGTTTTGCGATATGTTATTACTGTGAGTTGCTTCTGTGTAAGGATACCATGATATCATTACGCGGGTGATACTGATGAGATGATAAGCAGATGTAGCATTTTCTTTTAATTCTAAATTATTATTTTAGTAAAGTTGCAATGTCCTATGTTGGTTTTGTTTCTGATGACATTCTTCGTTTCTCTGTTGGCATTTTCCAATGAAAAACATTCTCTTTTCTTTGAAGGAAGGAGCAGACCATCTTGAAGAACTAAGGAGCGTTTCTGGCTGCTATGTTGCATTCAGGCTATTTTCAAACATCAGAGTGCCTCAAGGCTTACCCTCATCCATATAACACTCACCAGTTATTTTGTGAACTGTCTTTTAGTCATTAATAAGTAATTTTTCACACACAGATGAAGAAGTGAATTGTGTTTCTGTTTCTGTTCATCTATCATCACATAAGGAGCAATTCCCACCAAGTGACATGTTTATAATGGTATTCTGATTGAAAACACAGTGTAATTCCTGCTGGGTAAAAAAACCTGTTTTCATCTCTTTCCTCTTTTTTTCATTCTGAATCAAAGATCTAACAGGGCCTTAATTCAGAAAGACAAATGCCAAAAATTGCAAACAATCAAATTAATGACCAAATAATTCAGAAAATCATAGTTTATATTGAATTATCAATGATAAATTAATTATGTTTCCTTTAATTTCTTGACTTGTGAAGGCCTCAAGCTCTCCACATAGGGAGACATTCCCACCGTGAGACATGTTTATATTGGTATTTTCTGTTGGAAATTTTTTTGAATCTTTAGTAATTATGTTCCATAAGAATTTCGGAATTTTCATTTTGATTTTGTTATGTCTTGTAAATGAGAAGTGCTAGGAATTTTTGTTGATGAGAACAAATAATTTACTGAAATTTACTAACCATATAGATGATACGCGAACGAAACAATAAGTGCACGAACAAATTAAAACACACCTTATAATTTCCTGTTGATTTGTGAGAATATTAATAAAGCTAAACATGGAAGACTGTTTGGTTTAAAGAATAATAAAAAATGAACCGAAATTGAGACATTAGCCCCATATGCATTATCTTTTTGCTTTGTGTAGGGTAGATTTCCACCGCCACCACGTGCAAAACCGGGCTCAGTTTACCAAGACATCGACACTAACATCGTTGAGACAATTCCAACACCACCTCTTGCCGCCGCCCACTCCAGTTGCTACCAATTGGAGAAGAAGAAGTCCAATAATATGCCCACAAAGGTTAACCACAATGGTCACAGTGAGGTAGAGGGAGAGGCCGAGAGGGAGTCTCACAAAGAGAAAGGGAAAATCGCACACTATGGAGGCCGAGACAAAGAGAGGGATTATA